AGGTGCTGTGTCAAGGGCTTTGAATTCAACATTCTAGGGAATGGGGGTTTCAGAGTTTCCAAGGAGCAGAGAAAGTGCCAGCTACATCTGAGTTTTACACTAGTCAGTAGAAGAGAAATGCAAAAGAAATTGTGTATCTGGGTGTTGGGTCCTTCCAAATAAACTCTTTTAGGATGAGATAAACTACCTTGGAAGGTGTTGATTCCCCATTACAACAGAATATTCAGGCACTGGTAGCTATTAGGTGAGAGTATTTAAAAGGGAATTCAAACATAAAAGTGAATGAATGAGATTCAAAACAGTATTTGAGATCTTAGCATTGTGAAGCAGGAAAAGAAATGAAAGGTATTAAAGATTGGAAAGAAAGAAACAAAATAGGCATTTTTCACAGAATAGAATAGTGTCCTCAAAGAAATGCAAAGTCTCATCAGATAAACTATCAGAATTGGTAAGTTATTTTAGTAAGATTGATAGAGATAAAAACAGCATTAAAAATGTATGCATTTCTTTGCATAAGCCATGGTCAGAATCTAATAGTAATTTTTAAAAGATGGCCATTTACTATAGCATTTAAAATGTAAAGTACCTAAGAATAAATTTAACTATATTTACAAAATCTTTAGAGAAAATATTTAAATGTTTGAAGACATTAAAGAAACAGCCTAAATTAAAGGCTCAGTATTGTAAAGATGTCAATTCTCCCCAAACTGATATGTAGATTCAATGCAATTCCAATAAAAATCCCAACAGGTTTTTTGTGGAACTTGACAAGCTGATTCTAAAATTTATATGGAGGAGAAAAGATTCAAGAATAGTCAAGACATTCCCGAAGAAGAAGAACAAGGTGAGGAGATCTGCCTTACCAGATATAAAGAGTTATTATAAAATCTAGTGATTAAGACAAGTATGTATTGGCACTGGGATAGACGGATTGATCAATGGAATAAAATAGAGAGCCCCAAAGCAGATTTATGTGTAAAGAGAAGCCTATTCAATGCAGAAATGCAGTTGTAGTTTTGTTGGATAAAAAGATGGTCTTTACAATAAATAATGCTGGGACAATTGGGTAATTCTATGGGGAAAATTGAAAATTAATTCTTACCTCATACCAGAAACAAAAATCAGTCCCAGTTAGTATGCACACTGAAATCTAAAAGACAAAATGATGAAACATGAATGAAAGTAGGAAAATGTAATCTCACAGTAGGTAAGGATTCTTAAGACTTAAAATGTTGATAAAGGGAAAGATTAACCAATTTGACCACATTATGATGTAAAACTTTTGTTCATAAATAGGTACCATAAAAAAATGAAAGGACAGGCCATAAACTTGGCAAAAAAAAAAATCTGTAACACTTATAACTGATGAAGAGTGAGTATCCACAATATATAAGCAACTTCTACAAATTAATAAGAAAACAAACAAGCAATCCAGGAGAAAAATAGGGGAAATATTTGCTGGTAGTTCACAGAAGAAGTAACCCTGTTGACCAGTCATTTATGGAAAAATGGTCAACGTCATTAATAAATCAGGAGAATTATAAACTTACTATCTTTGATACATTTAAAGACTGATGATAGTAAATGTTGATGAGGATACAAAACAACTAGGAATACTTTACATTGCTGATGGGAGTATAAATTGTTACAACTATTTTGAAAAACAATTTGGCTTTATCAGGTAAAGTTATAGATACTTATACCTAAAACTCTTGCACATGTGCATGAGGAAACATACCAATTTATGTTTGAAGTAGGATTGTTCATTGTGAACAACCCCAGTATTCATCAGTAGTAGAATGGATAATAAATGTTGGTATGGACCCAAAAGGGAACACTGCAAAATAAAGTGAATGAATTTGGCTACATGGAACAACCTAGATGAATCTTCAAAACTTAACATTGGACAAAATAAAAACAAGTTTTATTACCGATTATGATTCAATTTTTATTTAAAAAAATAGATTGCATAATAAAAAAAACACATTGTTTAAGGATACAAGATATATGGGATACAAAATAAATTAAAGCAAGGTAATGAAAAAACACAAAATTTTCAAGCTTATTTGTGAGAAGGAGGAGTATATGAGGAGGGGAAGACCAAAAGAGAACTTCTAAGTTAAATTGTGTGATGGATATATTTGTATTTTTAGAAATATAAAAATTGAAAAACAGTGTTTTAAAAAACAACATGTTTTTTAAAAATGGCTTAATCTTGCTTCCAATGAAGGCTTACATAAGGGATGAAATGGTCTTTGATGCCACCTAGTGTTTTAAGAGATTTTAACATCTAAAGCTTTCTGGTTAGCTGACTCTGTGGGCTAGGTTTTTCATGGCAGAAATGAAAAGGAGTAAGATTCTCCTTGCTTTCATCCCTGACAGGCTCTTCAGCCTGACCCTTTGCATCTAGCACCATATTCTCTAGAACAGGCCCTTTTCTCTTGTCAAACAATAGCTCCTGTTTCTTCCTTACTTTATTTTAGGAACCTTACTTAACATGGCTGGAGACCTAGTTTTTATTCATCGTGAGGAGCTAGGGATGCTGATAGGACTGTGGTCATGGTTATTATTACTGACCCTGGGGACTATTTTCAAATCCTGCTGTCTATCTTTGTTCTACATCATTTAAGACAAGTATACAGGGAAAGTAATGCCTCTGAATTAGTTGTGGGGCTTTAAAAACTTGTATCTTATCCTGCTCTGACCATGATGGAAACATGGAAATCTAGCCTTTGTGAATTGGGAAATTTCAGTCTTAAGTAGGGTTGATGTGTAGGAGCCCTGCTCAGGATACTCTTCCCCCCACCCATGCCTTAAGTATTAGCAGCACTGGGTCTAAAGAAATTTCTTCTCAATAAAATAACATGTAGAACCTCTAGGAGTTTAACTCTGAGCGGAAAATCATAAGTGAAGGCAGATTTTAAGATTCTGACTCCCTTTATCTTAGGATCTTTTAATTTCTCTTTATTACTGTCTTGAATGATTCCCAAGAAACATGTTTGTTCCCTTCTTAGAGATCTTGCTTTCATCTGGTAAAATTAGTTCCTTTTAGGCTGTCATTTCCTTTATTTAATTATATATTTTTTTATTATCAAAATTAGAAACTAAAGAGTCATCCTTTATTCCTGTCTCTTTCTATCCAGTCTACATTTCTTTTATTCCATCTCTCAATCTAGTAACTCTATCTTCAGAATATATCTCAAATGCATATATTTCCTTGTACCATCACCTTTCCATGTTTCTATTCTTGTTTGCCAGTCCATTTTCCATGTATCAGCTAAAGTAATTCTTTAACATGTACATTGACTGATTGCATATTTAAAACCTTGAATGGTTTCCTCATGCACTTAAAATTCAATTCCCTATTGAAGGGCCTATGTGGAAATGTGTGAATTAACCTTACCAAGCTCATCTCCTCCCACTTCCTCTCACCATCCCCACCAATCACACTTTCTGTGTAATAGGTTCACTGATCTTTTAGTTCTTCCCACAAGCCACACCTCCTCCTCTCTCTCCAGTCACCACAGATGCTGATCACTGTGCCTAGCGTACTGTTTTTCACAATCATCCTTCCTCTGAGTTTGGGTGTTCTTTCTTTAATAATGTCTTGTTCTTTCATTGCATATATTGTGGTGTATTATTTTATATTTAATGTCATCTTTCACACACAAGTTTGTATTGTCTATGAGAGCAAGAACTGTATATGTGATTGATTCACCACTGTTTGCTCTGTATCTAGCCCAGTATCTGAGAGGTATACAACATATATTTGTTAAAGGAATAAGTGAAAAATAACACATAAACCATAATTTACTTAATTCTTTCCCTACTTCTGAATATTAAAGCTGTTTTCAATTTTGAGTCATTCTAAACAATGATGAACTAAATAATTTAAACATAGAGATTTGTATTTCTTTAGGCTATATTCTCAGAAGTGGAGTTGCTAGATCAAAGAGTATGAATATTTTTAATTTTATTTTTAAAGCTTATAAAACATATTTCCAAATCACATATTAGAAAGGTTTCTAGGTTGGAATTTTTATCTGTTTCCTTTTTTGCTTTCTTAGGTTTGAATATATGGGACACACCAAAAGAAAACAGTTCAAATAATAAGGCTTAGCTTCCCACTTCTTTTATTTATTTATTTGTTTGTTTATTTATTTTTTACATTTTTTAATTAAATTATTATCTGTGTAAGGGCTTAGCTTCCCGCTCCTTTTAAAAATTAATTTATTAAATGTTTATTCTAACCCTGACAGATTATTTTATTTATTCCTTATGTATAAGATATTAGTATCCCAATTTTACAGATGAGGGATTTTGAGTCTAGAAAGTTTAACTGTTTTGCTCAAGTTCGGACAATCCAGATTATCTCGTGTCAAACCACTTATGCTTATCCATATACCTACCTAATACACCTTCAAAATTGCTGCATAGTCACTGCCATCTCACCAGATCCTCTGCTTCCTAACTGCTGAATCCCTCCGAATGCCTGCCCTCCCACCCAACTGCCTAGCCTGTTTCCTTGCTACCTGATACTAGAAGCTGGGTTGCCATGCCCCTTTGTCAGGGCCATAGAGAGGACCTAACTCAGCTAACCGTCCAGGCACTCCTGTGTGGTTCATTCTGAGATGCATCTTATCCTTGCATTGTGGTTAGCATGAGGGTAAATGGCTCTTCCCTTTATGTCTCCACTTCAATTAACAGGGTGGTCCAATTTGACCCAGGCCCCTAACCACATAGTAACCATATAAAGAGCATGCTGCATAATAACAGGAAGGGCATTCTGCTCCTGGGGATTCTTGGTGGTAAACTAAGAAATTTGCAGGGTCTTTAGAAAAAGGAGCATCTCTGTGTTAGGCTGCAAGTGTTCCCTTGGGCCCCTCATTTTCCCCCAAGGAAAGGTAGAACTTGCTGCCAGGTGGGGAGTTGGTGTAGCAGTCTGCATGTTTGGTGTTTATCCCTGTTAGTAACTCCTCTAATTTCTCTTAACCTTTCAGGCTCTCCCTGCTTGTCCTATCCAGGCCACCTGTGAAGCTGCCTCCAAGGAGGAAAATAAGGAAAAAAATCGATATGTAAACATCTTGCCTTGTGAGTGTTTGTAGGGTTTCTAGGAATGTAACCTGAAACTGCATCTCTAGCCAGTTTTTCTGAGCCTGGAAAGAATTTTGTGATTGATCATAGGGAGATTGGTAAAGAGAGTAAGGTCAGGTCTTCTGTCAAGCTAAAATTGCCTTTATGGCTCCCAATGTGACCCCAGGTACTTACAAAGTCAATATGGGTGCTTAATTAGCATGTGTGGGGTTTTTTGTTTGTTTGTTTGTTTTGTGTGTGTGGGGGGGGGGCCTAAAGTTGCTAGGAGGTTAGAGAGAGCAGTTTCACTAGGACCAGATAGGAAGTGGGTTGTTTACGGGTGGTTTTTTGTAGTGCTCATTGCAAAGAAATTATGATACAGAGTTCTCTTTATAAACCTTCCCAGAATTAGTCATTACTAATCAGTTGACCTATATAGCCTAATAGACATTTTTCTAGACCAGGGGTCTCCAGAATGTGGGATATACATAATTCAGTGGGATAAGAGAGCAAAATATTTGAACTTTGCCTTGTTTTTATAATGACTTTTTTTGTTTATAAATTATATAATTTATTCTTTAAAGATCTTCTGGTATATTTTTGGGTGCATAACATATTAGAGATCACTATATATTTATATACTAGTATACTGTACTTATGTCTTCCTATCTGTATATGAATATATGTATGTATTTATATACTTAATGTAATTGATACATACATTGTTCAGAAACCCCCTACTCCCCCCTTTTTTTTTTTATCCTCACCCAAGGATATGTTTTCTATTGATTTCTAGAAAAAGTGGGTTTAGCTCAGTGGATGGAGCATCAGCCTGCAGACTCAAGGGTCCCAGGTTCGATTTCGGTCAAGTACCTTAGTTGCGGGCACATCCTAGTGGGGGGCGTGCAGGAGGCAGCTGATCATTGCTTCTCTCTTATCAATGTTTCTAACTCTCTACCTCTCTCCTTTCCTCTCTGTGAAAAATCAATAAAATATATATATTTTTTAAAAGAAAGTGGGAGAAGCATCAATGTGAGAGAGACACATCAATTGGTTGCCCCCTCGGCCCGCCCTGCCCTTACCAGGGCTGGAGAACCTGCAACTGAGGTACTTGCCCTTGACCAGGAATCAAACCTGAGACCTTTTGGTCCTTGGGTCAACACTGACCACTGAGCCAAATTAGCCAGGGCAGACCTTTTTTTCTTTTTTCTTTTTTCTTTTTTTAAAATATATTTTATTGATTTTGTACAGAGAGGAAGGGAGAGAGATAGAAAGCTAGAAACATCAATGAGAGAGAGTCATCAATCAGCTGCCTCTTGCACACCCCCTACTGGGGATATGCCCGCAACCAAGGTACATGCTCTTGACCGGAATCGAACCTGGGTCCCTTCAGTCCCCAAGCCGACGCTTTATCCATTGAGCCAAACCGGTCCCAGCCCTTTTTTTCTTTAAAAAATATTCTCAGTTCTTCTATTGAGAAACAAAAGTACTCACTTTCCTCTTTATCAACTGCTTACTATTCCATATCTTTTTTTTTTTCCTTTAAGAATAGTTTGTTGATTTTTAGAGAGAGAGGGAGAGAAAGGAACATCAATGTGAGAACAAAACATTGATCAGCTGCCTCTTGTATGCCCTCTACTAGGGATGATGTCTGAAACCCAGGCATGTGCCCTGACCAGAATCAAACTGGCAACCTTTCAGTGCACAGGACAGTGCCCAACCAACAGCCAGACCGGCCAGATCTGTGGACATATCTTAATTTATTTAACTAATCCCCTAATGATGATTGAGATATGTCCAAATATTGGCTGTTATTAATTGCTTCAGTGACATCTTTATACATCTGTGTCTCTGTACACATAGGCACAAATGTCTTATCTGGCCTGGTTGTGTCAGGACCAGTGAGAAATAAGATTGGATTTAACTATTTTAATATTGACTAAATATTTAAAGATTATTTTTTTCCCTAGATGATCACTCTAGAGTCCATCTGACACCAGTTGAAGGAGTTCCAGATTCCGATTACATCAATGCTTCATTCATCAATGTAAGTAACTCAAGCTTTCTCATCATTTCCTTGAACTGAGTCCTTCCCAGCTTTATGTTAAGAGGAGTATTTGTCATTTCAAGTTTTCCCTGAGGAATCTAATTTTTTAAGTAACTGAAAAACAAAGTTGTTTTTTTTAAAAAATTTCATATATTTTTATTGATTTTAGAGGGAGAGAAAAATATCAATGATGAGAGAGAGAAATTGATCAGCTGCCTCCTGCACACCCCCACTGAGGATTGAACCCATAACTTGGGCATGTGCCTTGACCAGGAGTCAAACTGTGACTTCCTGGTTCATAGGTCGATGCACAAGCACTGAGCCACACCAGCTGGGCAAAAAGGGGTTATTATAAGATACTGGATAGCTTACAAAATCTATGGGCAAGCCAATGAAACAAGCTAAGGTGCTGCTCAGTGAGGAATAGAGCATTCCTAGAGATACCCAACTACCCCCTATGACTCTCATAGTGAAAGTTCTGCAGAAGACGTGGATGCTTCTGCTGCCATGCTTGCCCAAAGACCAAATCTTGCTAGCACAATTACTCTCTCACATCACTCACTTCTACCCCAGGTCTTATGTGGGAGCATCTGCTAGGTTGGTGCCAAACTGAGCTGCAAGGGACGAATCTAGGGAACTTAGCTTTTAGTGTCTTGGCCTCTGTAGTAAGAAAGTCAAGATAGCAGTGAGTGAGACTGAGTAAGCCACCGTATAGTATCTGCAAATTTTCAGTACAGCTAAGGGTTTTAATTCATTCTCTGGGCAATGGGGTAATATCGAAGATATTAAAGATAAGTGATGTGGCCACATTTATATTGGTCAGTCAGGTTACTGTATGCAACATGGATTTAGGAGGGCCAACTAGAAGCTGTTACAGTAGTAGTTATAGATGATGAGGGCCTGTAGGAAAGTTGAAGAGGAAGCAACAAAATAAAAGCTACTTTGGAGGTAGACTTAACAGGATTTGGTGATTGATTGTATATTTGCAAGAGTAGAGCTTATAGAGAATAGAGTGATCCATGTGGATGTATCGGCACAGAGTTGGTACTATTCACCTGAAGCTCAGAGGAGATATTAATATTCCAAAGCTATGGTCTTGTAAGTTACTTAGAAGGAGAAGATTGGGCCCTGAGGCCCACCAGCCTCTGCCACACACATTGAGCAAGAGACACTCATGAATAAGATAAAAGGAGACTGGGAGAGAAGAGCATCTTAGAGGCAGAAAGTAAAGCATGGAGGAAATGTTTGGTGGTCAGCAGGGTTAGGTGCAAATGAGAGATCTAGTGAGAAAGAGGAGCAAATGTGCCTTGGACCTGGAGTATAGGGGTAGACAGTGTCCTTTGAAGCAAATCAAGGCCAGTTGTTATAAGCTGCCAGTTACCTACCAAATCCCTTTTCTCTCCAATTTAATTGAGGTATATTTTATAAAATTTACCAAGTCATGCTACCATCACCCTAATTGTTTAAGAACAATTTTAACAACTTTATTATATGTAAATCATATGCTATAATATTTACCCATTTGAAGTATATAATTCAGTGGTTTTTAGTATATTCACAGATATATGCAGCCATCAGTCAATTTTACAACCTTTTTATTACCTCCAAAAAGGAGCCCTGTACCCTTTTAGTTATTGCTTCTTAGTTTTAGAACATTTTGATTACCTCAATAAAACTTCTTGTCCAGATACAGTTAATCCCATTCCCGCCCCTGGCAATCACTTCCCAGTCCTTTTTGCAGAGAGCCAAGATCACAAATGGATCTTGAAAGAAATGGTAGCAACAGCCAGTGGAGATTAGGACCTGTGGTTTGGAAACACAAAGGTCTGAAAGCAAACTTGACATTGGTCACAGGGGGAGACAAAGCAGGCAGTGGCACAGTTGGCAGATGGGCTTCAAGCCTGAAGTCTTAGAAGGAACCAGTCTCCTCACTCACCTTTAGATGTCTAAGAGTGTGTAAGGTCTTTAGAAGTTACTACCAGGTGTCAGTTTCTCAGAGGCTCCTTAGCTATATCCCAGCACTCCTCTGCTTCTCTCATTGCCTGTAGTGGAGAACCCAGAACACTGGGAGCTGACCTGCCATACCCACAGGTTATCCCCAGAAGTCTTTGCACCAGGGTAAAGCATCATTAAGAAAATAACCATTTTCCTTCCAAGTGTGAGCCCAGCTTCATCCCTGGAACCACCACATATGCTTCTGCCTTGGAGGGTTCCTATCCATTAACATTAAGACCCAGATTGTAAGGCTCTGAGAACACATCAGAATTAGGGTCTAGCCTGGGATTTGGGATTTGGATATTCTTTATTAATAATTTATTTGGAGAAGACTACCTAGATCATGTAATCTTTTATTCCTGCTCTCCAAAGCTAATCCTTGGAAGTTTCTAAAACGGAAATTCTTATTAATTGCCTGGACCTTTTCACAGAGAGTTGTTAACTTGTTGGGAGTCTGAGAATATTATTTCCAACCCATTTTTGGTTTTAACTTCCTTTTTTTCCCCACTCTCCTCTCCCCTCAGGGTTACCAAGAAAAGAACAAATTCATTGCTGCACAAGGTAAAGTAATTTTTTTTTTTTAATATTCCAGGTAGGAAAGGGGGTCGGAGGGAGAAAGAGAGGGAGGGAGGGAGGGAGGGAATCGAACCCGGAACCCTTGAGTCATGGGGGATAGAGGGGGGGGTGAGGGGGGAAGGGAGGGAGACATTAGTGATGAGAGAGAATCAACTTATCAGCTACCTCCTGCCTACTCCCTAGTGGGGATAGAACCTGCAACCTGGGCATCTGCGCTGACCAGGAATTGAGCTCTGACTTCCTGGTCTATAGGTCAATGCTCAACCACGGAGCCACTATAGCCGAGCAAGTAATGATAATTTTTTACTCAGGCTTATCCATGAGCTCAGAGTTTGGGTTATTTCTTCCAAATGCTAAGTAGATTAATCTGAATGCAGATGCCTTTCTATAATGATTACTATTTGAAAATAATGCAATCCACCTTGCAAGTTTATAACTAAAGGTCTTGAACTTGATGACTTAATATCCAGAGGTCATTTAAAAGAAGTCCTTTTGTAAGTGTGCATAACAAGACTGGAGAAGAGAAACACCAATCAGAAAGGATATATGCACCCCTGTGTTCATAGCAGCACAATTTACAATAGCTAAGATTTGGAAACAGCCTAAATGTCCATTAGCAGATGAGTGGGTTAGAACATTGTGGTATAACTACACAATGGAATATTACACTGCTGTAAAAAAGAAGGAATTCTTACCATTTGCAACAGCATGAATGGAACTAGAGAACATTATGCTAAGTGAAATAAGCCAGTCAGTGAAAGATAAGTACCACATGATCTCACTCATATGTGGAATATAAAGAACATTATAAACTGTTGAATAATATTAGATAGAAGCAAAGAAGCATCGAACAGACTGTCAGATTACAGCAGGAAGGAAGGAGAAGGTGGGGAGGGGGGCTTAAGAGATCAACTGACTTCATAAAACTCTGGGGAGGGAGGGTATGTATGGGAGGGGGGCAATGTTAAAATATGTTCACAGATAATAATTTAATAATAAAAAAAAAAAGAGATCAACTGATTTGTATTCATGCATATAAGCACAACCAGTAGACACAGGACACTGGCGTGGGGGGGGGGGGGGTGAGGGCAAGTGCCGGCGGGTAGGGGAGGCTGGACGGAGGTCAGTGGGGGAAAAAAGGGAGACATATGTACTATTATTTGTAATACCTTAAACAATAAAATAAAAAATACAGAAGAAGAAGAAGAAGAAAAGACTGGTGAAGGCTATACACATATGGTGTGATCCTTTGGGAACATGAGGTTCTAGTTAGGCTGCTCAGAATTTGAATTTGTAATCAATCTTCAGAAAGGATTGGCCACCTCCCAAGATCCAGGCTGGCTCATTTCCTCCCTGCCACTCATGGGCCTGAGCTCCAGTATTATTAATAGACTAGAGGCCCAAAACACGAAATTCATGCAAGGGCTTGGCCCTTGCAGCCAGGGCGGCTGCCTCAGCCCTCACAGCTTTTTTTTTTTTTTTTTTAATATATTGATTTTTGTACAGAGAGGAAGAGAGAGGGACAGAGAGTTAGAAACATCGATGAGAAAGAATGATCGATCAGCTACCTCTTGCACACCCCCTACTGGGGATGTGCCTGCAACCAAGGTACATGCCCCTGACCGGAATCGAACCCGGGACCCTTGAGTCCGCAATCTGACGCTCTATCCACTGAGCCAAATTGGTTTTGGCAGCCCTCACAGCTTTGTCTGGAAGGTCGTCCAGAAGGACATCTGGAAGATCATTCAGCTCTCTGGTCTAATTATCTTATTGTGCTTTTATTATTATAGATGAGTGGTCTAGGAACCTTCAGAGCAGGGACCCAGTACCATGGACCCCTTAAGTGGAGGACGATTTACAGGGAAACAAGCAGAAATTTTCGTAATCGGTTATGCTCTTAATATAGTAGTCAATAGCCACATATGGCCATTTAAAATTAAAAAATTAATTAAAATTAAATTTTTAAATTCAGTTCCTCAATTATAGAAGTCACATTTTTAAAAAAATATATATTTATTGATTTTTTACAGAGAGGAAGGGAGAGGGATAGAGAGCTAGAAACATCGATCAGCTGCCTCCTGCACACCTCCTACTGGGGATGTGCCCGCAACCAAGGTACATGCCCCTGACCGGAATCGAATCTGGGACCTTTCAGTCCGCAGACGGACACTCTATCCACTGAGCTAAACCAGTTTTGGCAGAAGTCACATTTTAAAGCTCACTATCACATATAGTTAGAGGCTTCTATAGCAGTGCAGATATAAAACTTTTACCATTACAGAAATTTCTGTTAGACATAAAATAGAGATTGAGATCAAGTAAGTTAGGAAAAGTCTCAGAGCCTCCTTACACTCACAGTCTCTCACTGGGGTCAAGCTTTTTCGTAACTAGGCCCACTTTCCTTTCCTCTGTAGCCATCTGTCAATTCAGATCTACCTTCTGTGTCCCAATTGTGCTAACATCTACTCAGTGATGATTTTGGCACCAACAACCATGTGCGATATTTTCCTCTCATTATTTGCCATGGGAATTTGTTGACATTAAAATATTTGTTGAATTAAGGTCTCCTGTGACTTACTGGTTGACTTTTTCAAACTCCCGTCCTCTTAAGCCTTTCCACAGTACTTCACACTCCTTGAAACTCTTCCATTATTTTCTGATGTTCACTTACCTTTATTGTTCTCACTTTTCAAAATATTCTTTCCCTGGCTCTTATTCTTCTTTCTGCCCCTTAAATGTAGCTTCTTCCCAAATGTGTGGGTAACTGTTTCCTTGAGACTCGCTCTCTTTCATGGCTCCATTTTCCCTCAGTTCTCTTGCCTCTCCACCTGCTCCTTCTTAGTCTCCTTCCCAGGGTTTTATTCTATCTAAACTGAATATTGCTGAGGGTCCTCAGCATTCTCTGCCTGACCCCTTCTTTTTTGTCTTCTTTTAGAGAGAGCTCATCTAATATTCACCTTTGGCTGCTGCTTCTCTGGACTTCTCCTAAGCCACATTTTCAAACTAGTTTTGTACCCTTCCATCTGGATGTCCCACACTCTTTTCTTTTTTAAATATATATTTTATTGATTTTTTTACAGAGAGGAAGAGAGAGGGATAGAGAGAAACATCGATGAGAGAGAATCATCGATCAGCTGCCTCTTGCACACCTCCTACTGGGGATGTGCCCGCAACCAAGGTACATGCCCTTGACCGGAATCGAACCTGGGACCTTTCAGTCCACAGGCCAACTCTCTATCCACTGAGCCAAACCGGTTTTGGCCCCCACATACTCTTTAGATTTAACATCAGAAACTCAAACATGACTCTTTCTTAGACCCTAGACTGCTTTCCTCCTTTATTCTTTGGCCATCACCATGACTGGAATGTAAACTACCGAAATAACCAAGCCAATTTAGGATAATCCAGATCTTCTACCTGTCCCTTAGTCTAAATATGACTAGTCCTCTATTTCCAGCTCCAAAATACGTCTTCTCTGACACATTGCATTACTCCCATCTTTTCTTCCAGCTCTGTTACAGTATGACTGATTTCTCTAATCCTCACCCTTGCTCCTTGCATTCTTTACCAGAATGTCCTTTCTCAAGGAAAACTTTTGTCAGGATCCTCATGATTTTCCATTGTCTATAGGACAAGCCTTGTACCTTACCTATCTTTCCAGCTCCATCTCCCACCACTCCATGCACTCTACACAGTTACCTCACTGAATTCCTTACATCCCTGGTATCTCGTGCTCTTTCTTACTCCTAGCCGCCTATTCTCCCTGTTTCCTCTCTAAGCTCCCATCTCCCCTAACATATAACGCAGATGTCACCTACTCTAGTAGATTTTTTCTGACCTTTCTAGGCTTTGAAACAATTATCCTTCTGTACATCTTTCTAGCATGTGTTCACGTCTATCATTGTTTTTCCTCTGTAATTTTTTTTTTCATTTTTGCCAAGGGGAATATAAATGTTAAGAAGGTCAAAGTTATTACAAAGTTATTACAAAGGTTACTCTTTTAATCTAATGCAACCATTTTTATCTGTTGACTTCCTATGGTAGATGACATATTTTATTTAATTCTCTTACAAACATCCTCACACCCAATCAGACAGACATGCATATACATGTCTCTTTTCCCCACTTTTTTTTTTAAATTTAATTCTTTATTTAAAGGATTACATATGTCTCTTTTTCCCCCCATTGTCCACTCTTCCCAATAGAGTTAAATTACAATCTGAAGTTAAGATAACGTTATTTGCATTATTACTATACCAACTTCATTTACAACTGAAGCACACATAATATATGATTTTTTTTTTCTTGGTACAGTTTTGGTTTGCTCTTTTCTGAGAGTTAATGATTACCCTTTTTTCCTATTCACTTAGTTTTTTATATAGCTAACATTGATTCTCCCTCCACTCCCCACCCCCACCCCCAAATTCTTCTCTAGGAATATATTCTCTCAAGAATTCAGATACATGGATTTATTATTTTATTTTTAATATTGGGATCCCTCCAGAACCTTCTTTCTTTAGCCATTCTGGGTTGCTTTAGTCTTCCTTCTGAGTTAGATCCCATCTATTTCTCTTTGTTGACTCCTTCATTTTTGTTTGGAAATCTTCTAATGGCTTTCTGGGAAGGACTGTGTGGGAAGTAAATTTTAAATTCTAGTCTGAGCAACTTACCTAACCCCTCTGTGGCTGATGACACTTACCTCAGAACATGGTGGAAAGAAATAAATGAGATATGAAACACTTAGCTCACTATCTGGCCCATAATGTGATATTGAGTGAATAGTCATGCTTTCTAATCCCAACAATAATACCTTTGGGAGACACTGTTCATGTTCTCTTTATATCTTGACAGCCTCCCACCCCCACTTCACTTTTTAGTCAAGTGCCTGGTGAATACCTAGGGAATGTTCAGTTAGCAGGTGGGTGGATGGACCAGTGCATTAGATATTTAGCTGGAGATATGTGGACACAGGCTTCCAAAGTGAAGAATGAATGTTTCCAGTTTCCCAGCATCTTTCTTCCCCTTGCCATGGGCTCTCATTTTTGCTATTTGCTGCTTTAGGACCAAAAGAAGAAACGGTAAATGATTTTTGGAGGATGATCTGGGAACAAAACACAGCCACCATCGTCATGGTGACCAACCTGAAGGAGAGAAAAGAGGTAAGTGGAAAATTTATTAGGAGGGCCCCTGATACAGGCGTGACCAGCAAAAGGTCTTTGCTGGAGCTGTGTTTGTGTTTGGACTGTCCACCCTTTGTGGCTCCTTGCCAGTTGTTCTTGCAGACAGAGCCCAGGCCAATATGCCTACCAGACTTTCCTGTGTCCCAAAGGCCTCCGATGAACCCTAAGGGTGCCTAGGGCATGTTCCCTCTGACTGGTAGTCAGACAACTCACCCCGGTTCCAAACGGCCTGGCAGAAAGACTGGCCATTTGCCAAGAAAGCACCACAGAGTGGCTCTTCTTCCTAGTTTCTAGTTTCTCCTTTCCTCCTTCCTGTGGTTTCCTGTCCCTCCTCCTGGGCTGGCAGAGGGAGCTATATGAAACTGAAACTGAGACCCTGCGCCATGTGCAAGGGAATCTGAGGCCTTCGCCTGATTTTTTTTTTTTTTAATATATTTTATTGGTTTTTCACAGAGAGGAAAAGAGGGATACAGAGTTAGAAACATTGATGAGAGAGAGACATCGATCAGCTGCCTCTTGCACACCCCCCATTGGGGATGTGCCCGCAACCAAGGTACATGACCTTGATCAGAATCGAACCTGGGACCTTTCAGTCCTCAGGCCGACACTCTATCCACTGAGCCAAACCGGTTTCGGCCCTGGCCTGATTCATGAGGCAGCCTTCTGATCGGTCTTTTTATTTTTGACCGCCAAGTACATACCTGCCCAGCTCCATCACTGGGTCACAGCCAACACCAGTGCTGAGTCCTGGACTAATCCCCAGGGAGGAATCCCCATTCATGACAGTTTTTCTCCAGGATGGCCTTTGAGTCCCCTTGTTCCCCATAGGGTGTTGGTGTACTGATCAGCACCTCCACGGTGCTGGGGAAGAATATCATTGGGTCTGGGCTTTAGGTTTATTTCTTACAACCAGACCTCTGGCTCTTGAAAGCTGTCCAAGGACCAGACACCAGAGAAGACCTTGGGCCTCTTGTGGCAGGTTTACAGTCTGCATCAATCCACAAGCTCACCTCTAGAGTGTGGCAAATTTGACCTGAACTGACGGAATAATGGGAATGGGAAAGAACAAGAAGTATATGGCGTATGTTAAGAGATTGTGCTAAACAGGATAAAAACTCAGGAACTTGCAAAAAGAACAGATAAAACAAATAAGTCTGTAGTTGTCTGAGGTGAGAGAACAGACCATAGGGCTTCCCCTGGACTTCATTCTGGGCTATTGTGGTCCTTTTCTTTCAGGCCCTTTCCATGTACCAAGGGCGGGAGGTTTGAGGTCAGGGGATGCATGTCTGTTCCTTTCCAGTGTAAGTGTGCCCAGTACTGGCCAGATCAAGGCTGCTGGACCTACGGGAATATCCGTGTGTCCGTAGAAGATGTGACCGTCCTGGTGGACTACACAGTGCGAAAGTTCTGCATTCAGCAGGTACTGTTTTCTAATTCCTTTTCTCAGCTCTCGCTTTGGCTCTGCTGACCATTAAGAGGGCAATCTCCCCTTTCCCTCAGAGTGGTCAAGAAAGATAATTGTGTGTTGTGTTTGGACTCTGAAACCAGAGTTCTGGGCTCCCGGGAACTTCTTTTGTGAAAACTAAGGAGAAGCATTTTTATGACTGGGAGAAACATGAATATTGAGATGGAGTTTTATCATCTTAGTAGAAATCAATTGCATCAAGAGGTGGTATATTCTTCTGGGTACTTGACTCACTTTTTCTTTTTTATTCCAAAGGCTCCTAACATCAGGATGTGATAAGCCTTGCTCCTGGCCCTCCAGAGTGGCCCTGGAGGCTTAAGCAGAGGTCGCCATGTGCTGAGGGCAGTGTAGTGCTATGAAAAGGGAGCTTACCAAAAGTCAGGAGACCTGCATTTTAGTACTGACCTTGCCATTCACTGTGTGAGCGGATATCTTTCTAGTTCTTGGGCAGCAATCAAACTCTGATAAAGTTAAAAGGCACCTTTTTATGTTTATTTTGTTTTTATTTGTGTGTTTTTTTTAATCAAGTACTGGCAAAATAGGCTCAGGTAATCGTGTGTCTGTAAATTGTGAAAAGGGAGCTTACCAAGAGTCAGGAAACCTTGACCAGGTCATTTTATATTCCATATATGTAGACTGAGAAAAATAGTAATAGTTTACCCAATGGGGTTCCTGGAAGATTCTCTGTTCATTGTTAAAACTTTCTTGGGTACACCCTCATTTCCCTATTGTCACTAACAGCCACAACTGGCCCTGGCCCCTACGTCTTACCTTCCCTCCATTGGGACTGCCCCACCTATCCCAGGGTATCAGGGCCAACACACAGTATTTTTTTTTTTACTTCACAGGTGGGCGACATGACCAACAGAAAGCCACAGCGCCTCATCACTCAGTTCCACTTTACCAGCTGGCCAGACTTTGGGGTGCCTTTCACCCCCATCGGTATGCTCAAGTTCCTTAAGAAGGTGAAGGCCTGTAACCCTCAATATGCGGGGGCCATCGTGGTCCATTGCAGGTCAGTGTGGCCTGACCCTTGGCTTCCCACTTATACCACACTGCTCCCAAGGGAAAGCACAGGCCCTGGCTGAGGAGGCATAGCGCAGAGGAGCTGTTGGACTCCTCCTTGGTGCTGGTTGGAGATTACCTGAGGAAAAAGGGAAGGGCAGTCCTCTAAGATTGGGGGCGGGGTAGGGGTTGGACCACTGCTGTGAAGCCAGGAAACCAGGTTGAGTACTGCCTTGTGCACTGGGAGCCTTCAGGCCCCTCTAAGTGTAAAGGTTCTCTAATCCTAGAGGTAAGGAGTTCAAGGTACAGTGGGGTTTGTTGGTACCATGAGAGTCCCAGCTCTGTCTCATTCAGAATTAGAATTTAGAGGCTTGAAGAAAGAGCCCTGGCCTGTGCTGCCCCCTCCTTGCATGCTCCCACAAGGCATGTAGGCCAGCCTGTAACACCCCTACTCTCTGGCTACAGTGCGGGTGTAGGGCGGACAGGTACCTTTGTCGTCATCGATGCCATGTTGGACATGATGCATACAGAGCGGAAGGTGGACGTGTATGGCTTTGTGAGCCGGATCCGGGCACAGCGCTGCCAGATGGTGCAAACAGATGTGAGTGATTTGCGGGTGAAGCAAGGTGGGGGCATTTCAGGACCAAAACATCTGCCACCTCAACCTCCCAGGTTATTGTGAATGATGATCATACAGTATAATGAAGGGCCCTGGTAAGTTGTGTATTAAGACAGACATGGAGCACAGAGGGCATTGTACCTAGGGGAATTGGGAAGGCAGGTGTCATTTCACTGGGCTCTAAGGATAAGGAGCAGGCCCTGAGGGAAGCAGGCACGCAGCAGCTGAATGAGTAGTGCCTGCAGAATTGTGACATAGTTCAGCTACATCCAGCCTATCCTTACTGTGAGGTCAACCCTATGGTTAGGCACAGTGCCGGAGGCAGGCTGGCACAGGTTTTGTGTGTGTCCAGATTTTCATCATCTCTTCAGGCTATCAAATCTTTGCTCTCAGAATAGGCAGCAGTTGGATTTGTTTTTCTCTCCAGGCTTTCACTCCAGAAGGGTGTCAGAGTAGGACCCTCCCTCCCAAGCTCAGCACCCCAGAGTGACTCATGAATTTCAAGTCCTGTGTCACTGAATTGGGACAATTAGAGTGTCCCAATCAAAGGAGAAGTGGACTGGAGGGAAATGGGGGTCGGAGGGGGTAGGTCTGCCACCATAGGGACAGTGATGTGTGTAACTTAGAACTCGGGCACCATCCGATTTCAGATGCAGTACGTCTTCATATACCAAGCCCTTCTGGAGCATTATCTCTACGGAGATACAGAACTGGAAGTGACCTCTCTAGATACACATCTGCAGAAAATTTACAACAAAATCCCAGGGACCAGCAACAATGGATTAGAGGAGGAGTTTAAGGTGAGTTGGACCTGAACCACCTTTTCAGATTGAAGGAATCATGTGACTTGGGAAATGTGGGCTGCTGAACTCCTTGAGATTTACCAACAAATGATGAAAACACAGGGTATGTGAGTGGTTAAGGAGGTGGATCTCTGGCCCTTTTACCCAAAGCCTAGTCATTCTCAACCCACCCTGCACATTAGAATCACTTGGTTTGTTTTGGGGAGGAACAAGCAATGGTAATTTTTTTTATCCTCACCAAAGATATGATTATTGATTTTAAAGAAAGGAAGGGGGATAGAGAGAGGAAAAAAACATCGATGTGAGAGAAACATCGATCGGTTGCCTCCTATACACACCCCGATGGGATCAAACCCACAACTTTCAGTGCAAGGGACACCGCTCCAACCAGCTGAGCCACATGGCTGAAGCAGCAATGGTATTTTTTGTTGTTATTGTTAGTCCTCGCCCGAGTCAGAAAGTGGTATACATTTGATAAGGTTTTCTAAAGAGTCAAAGACAGCCTCTGGGCTAGAACAGCGGGAGTGGGAAGGTGGACCTCCTGTCAGGCTCAAGGATCATTAAATTCCAGCCCAGGGGAATCCAGAGGGTCCACAGGAACTGGAAGGAAGGCGGTTTCCCAAACACTCTTTTCACTTGTTGACCAAGCTTAAAGATAAAAGAAAGTGTCCCAACAAAGACATATGGAAATGAAGATCATGGTTACAGTGAGGAGCTGTATACACCCAGAATGGCTTGGAGACACAGATTCAGTGACAGGAATACTAGTAATCTTGTCAAGTTTAGTTACTGGGATCAGTAATGTTTTCCCTCCCTTTCCCAATTCAGAAATTAACATCAATCAAAATCCAGAATGACAAGATGCGGACTGGAAACCTTCCAGCCAACATGAAAAAGAACCGGGTTTTACAGATCATTCCATGTAAGAGCCCTCTCCCCACACCCAAAGCCTTCACCTTCAACCCTTCCCTTTCCACTTCTCAGGTTCTAGTTAATGATCAGCTTGGAGACAAGAATTACGGCATTGCCTCTCGTTGCCCCAGTTCTTGAATGGCTTCTGAAAATAAAAGAGCATGAAGGCCAAAGGGATTCTCCCTCCTGGTCAGAGAACAGACATGTTATTGCCCAGCTAGAGCCTGGGGAGGAGAGGAAAGATAGAAGGAGAGGGAAGAGAGGACAAGTGATATTAAAGAACCACAATCTGCTCTCCTTCTTACAGATGAGTTCAACAGAGTGATCATTCCAGTTAAGAGGGGTGAGGAGAACACAGACTACGTGAACGCATCCTTCATCGATGTAAGTGCTATCTGTGTCTCCAGAGCTCCATGGAGAGTCATCTGGGCCTTGCATTTCCCTCATCCCCCAGGTGCTGGGAAAGTTATCTTTGAGTCAATCATCAGTTTAGAACTGATCCCTACCCTAGATCTGTCAGGTCCCAGAGAACAGAAGGTGGTGGGAAGCAGGGGCTATACCAGGGAAAAGTTCACAACACAAACCACACAGTCAAAGGCTGAAAACCTCTGATCTTTCCCCATTCACCGGCAAAAGGAATACATCACCAACCAGGGCCCACTTTTCTCTCTTTCCCTCACCCTCAGAGAAAAAGACCAGCTTATCAGACAGAGTTTGGTCCTTGACCAAAAGGGATCTCTGCCTAAAATGGATTTGCCTCCAAGCAGCCCCATCCCTTCCTAGTAGCCTCTTCTCCACTAGCCCCTCCCTGATTAAACCACCTCACTGCTACCATTGGCCTGGCCTGTACAGGGCTACCGGCAGAAGGACTCCTACATCGCCAGCCAGGGCCCTCTTCTCCACACCATCGAGGACTTCTGGCGAATGATCTGGGAGTGGAAGTCCTGCTCCATCGTGATGCTGACAGAACTGGAGGAGAGAGGCCAGGTGAGCACAAAAAGGTCCTGGGCTGCAGGAGACGGGCCTCATGAAAGCTGCGGGGAGGTATGTTTGGACCTTTTCTTTAACTTGAACTGCCCAAAGAGCCACTCTAGGCAATATTGCCCAGCCAGTTGGTATCTGAGCCATCAGTAGCTTCTCTCAGGACTGGAAGAGCAGTGTGGTCTGAGCTTGCATTTAGTTTCCAGACAGCTCACACCCTCTCTTCTCGTGAATACAGTTTGTCCTCTCTACTCACAGCCCAGCTTTGTGCTCTCCTCCCCCCTCCACAGGCAAGGCAGGACTCTCCATCCTCAACAGGATCCCAAGGCATTGTTAGCCTGGGTTATAGTGGGTCTAGCCACTGCTAGCTCCTGGTCCAGATTCCTCAGGCCCATGTTCTACCTCCTGAGGAAGGCAGGCAGTCCCTGCCCTTCTGCCTAGGGGAGAGTCATGATTTCTACACTGAAGTTGCTGTCTTAAAATATTCCAAAGCCTGTACCTTCTCCCCCAAAACCTTGCCTTCCAGCAGCTCAACTCAGCCTTGGAAGTAGTGCTGCCTCGGTAACAGCTCCCTGCCATCTCCCACCTCACAGCTACAGGAGGCACCCTTGAGTTCCATGTACTTCCGTTCTTTTTCTCTCAAGTAGCTGGCTTTAAGCCTACCTGCTTCCTTGTTTGTGTTGTTCTGTCCACATGGAGGGCTCGATTAAATAAATCCTATAGCCTTCATCTGGCTGAGTAGGATAAGTTCCAGCCATCAGTTCTAATAATTCAAAAGCCCCAATCTTCAGTCCTAATAACTGTGTAGAAGGCATGTTGGGAGGGAACTGTGGTAGAAAAATTAATTCTAGCTCTGGCCACTGTGGCTCAGTTGGCTGGCCATTGTCCTGTGCATCAAAAGATTGCCAGTTGGATTCCTGGTCAGGGCACATGCCCAGGTTGCAGGGTTTTTCCCCAATAAAGGATGTGCAGAAAGTAGCCAATTGATGTTTCTCTCCTTTTTCCTCCCCCTTTCTCTAAAAATCAATTAAAAAGTAAAATTCAATTTAAAAAAGAAACCGGGTTGGGGGGTAGAAAAAATAACATAACATAACATAACATAACATAACATAATAAATATAATATAGTAAAAACTTATTCTACCTGCCAGTGCCCTAAAAACCAGGATAATCTATGTTAAGGTGATCCTTATTTAGGATTAAATGAAGAGAGGGGCCGAAACCAGTTTGGCTCAGTGGATAGAGCATCGGTCTGCGGACTGAAAGGTCCTGGGGTCAATTCCGGTCAAGGGCATGTACCTTGGTTGCAGGCACATCCCCAGTAGGGGATGTCTTTCTCTCTCATCGATGTTTCTAACTCTCTCTCTCTCCCTCTCTGTAAAAAATCAATAAAATATATATATATTTTTTTTTAAATGAAGAGGGACTCACCCAAGGCAACCCCTGGCTCCTCGTGGGCCCACGTATAAAAGCACTGGTTGGTCTGTGGCATTTATTTGATCCACCACTAATCCTTATCCAAGGATACATTTTTTATTTTTTATTGCTTTTTAGGGAGAGAAACATCAGTGTGAGAGAGAAACATCGATTGGTTGCCTCCCGTAGGCACCTGGACTGGAAATCAAATTGCTACCTTTTGGTGAACAGGACAACGATCGAGCCAAATGACCCCCTTAGCCAGGGCCAATAACCCTGTGTTTTAAAATAAGCTCATTATTATGTATAAGGGTATAGTGAATTATCACAACTATATAAAAAGCAAGAAAGTTTATTAAAATTGACTTTTTTTTTCTTTTAGAGTCAGAAAGCTTTAATGGTTATTCATTACATTTGTGTTATACTTTGTAACATGCAGTATTTTTTTAAATGGACTCTTAGTAGTGATTTTATTTAGACTGAGAAACTATCAGTGGTATTTACTTTTATACACAATTTCCCCAAGTCTTTTATAATGAAAATAGAGCACATTTATAGTTGAGGATTTTTTTAAATGTGTTTTTATTGATTTTTTTTTTTTTTTAATCCTCACCCAAGGATATATTTCCCATTGATGTTTAGAGAGAGTGGAATGGAGAGGGAGAGACAGAAGCACAATGTGAGGGAGACGCATCAAATGGTTGCCTCCCACATGCCTCCCACCAGGGTTAGGAGCCTGCAACCAGGGGACATGCCCTTGACCAGAAGCGAACACTTCTGTCCGCAGGCCGATGGTAGAGGTTATTAAGGACTTTTAAATTACCAGTAATGAAATATCTAAGATATTCCCTAAAATGCTCAAAAGAAATGAATAGGATTTTGTTTTATACATATTCCTTGGGTTGTTCTACAGACATTAACAGATTCATTTACCAGATACTTACTGAGACCTAGCATAGGCAGACATTGTGAAAGGTACTGGGAATACAAAGATGAAGAGAAGCAGCCCACAAAAAGCTGTAGAGGGATCTGAGCTGGGTATTAAAAAAAAAAAAAAAAGTGTGGCTCAGTTGGTTGGGCATTGTCCTGTGCACTGAAAGGTTTTGAGCTCAATCCCCAGTAGAGGGCATGCAGGAGGCAGCCGATCAGTGTTGCCCTCTCATCTCTTTCTCCCTTTCCTTTTTTTTTTCCCCTCTCCCTCTCCCTCCATCCCTCCCTTTTTTTTCTCTCTCCTTTCCTTTCTCCCTCCTTCCTTCCCCTCTCTCTAAAAGTCAATAAAAAAATCTTTAAAATAAAAACAAACAGCAAACCATCTTCTCACTAGCAAGGACAGACATGCAAGTGCTAGCAACTTTAACGTACCCTTGCAGATGAAAGAAATAGAGAAAAAAGAATGACAGCAACTGTGGGCTAGGCTGCAGTAAAGCACCATGACTAGGCAAGGGAGATATAATAGGGTTCAGTTATTCTGGATTAGCAGTTTGGCATGTAAACAGCTATAAGATATGGGAACACTCCAAGGAAACGAAAAAAGGGAGGCGAGAAGTTGGAACAAAGATATTCACTTCTCTCCCTCCACCCTGCCACTGAGTGTTGGATGCCCTTATGGGGTGATGATCGAGTTTTTCAAAGACTGTCAGTGTTGCAAAGTAACACCAAATGCTTAATTGATTATCTGTGGTAGTGGAAATAAGTTGTTAAATATAGATGTCCTGGAGTAATGATAAGTAACTTTGTGATCCTGAGTTTTCAATACTTTGGGGGTGAAGTGTGTTGGGTAATAGGTAGCTGTGCCGAGAAGAGGGAAGCAGCTCATGTGGCAGCCCTACCTCTTCCACACACGATGTTCTGAGCCCCTTACACTCTCTCTTTTGTCCTTCCAGGAGAAGTGTGCCCAGTACTGGCCCTCAGATGGACTGGTGTCCTATGGAGACATCACAGTGGAGCTGAAGAAGGAGGAGGAATGTGAGAGCTACACCGTCAGAGACCTTCTGGTCACCAACACCAGGGTAAGGTGGCTGGTGGATGAGGGTTCTCCCACAGGGAAACCTGGGTGCCCCAACCTCTCTGATGGTCCTTCCTCCAAAGGAGAACAAGAGCCGGCAGATCCGACAGTTCCACTTCCACGGCTGGCCTGAAGTGGGCATCCCCGGCGATGGGAAGGGCATGATCAACATCATCGCAGCCGTGCAGAAGCAGCAGCAGCAGTCAGGGAATCACCCCATCACCGTACACTGCAGGTACCGCCTATCCCAGCCCTCAGAGGGGAGAGAAAGTGATGAGAAGCTAGGCCCGTTGGAGGCAATCATGAGCATGGATCAGACAGTGAGGATGGGTGGACAAGAACAGGTTGTTGGTGAGCACGTGGCCATCAAGTTTGATGACCCTAGGACTGGGCCAGATGATAGGAGAGGATCCTGGTGTTTGAACTTCGCACATTATGCGCCTGGGAACCTGGCCTCCTTGTGAACACAGGAATGAGAAGGATGAGAACTCTTAACATGAGTGAGCAGCAGGTCAGGGCAGTCCAGGCTTGTTTGTAGGTAGACACCAAAGAATCAATGCTGTCCCCTGGGCTAATCCCTCACCAGGCAAAGTAGGTGGTGCGGAGAGGGCAGCAGGGGTGCACCTGCCTCCCCAGAGCTGTGTGAGGAGGGGCATATGTGGGGAGGAGCAGACGGACCTCCTGCTCCACCCCAGCACCACTTTCAATCACCTTGTCAGCTCAGAGGGTGGGCATGTTGTTTGTCTCCTGTATTGCAGTGCGGGGGCAGGACGGACAGGGACCTTCTGTGCCCTAAGCACAGTCCTGGAACGGGTGAAAGCAGAGGGGATTCTGGATGTCTTCCAAACCGTCAAGAGCCTGCGGCTGCAGAGGCCACACATGGTCCAGACACTGGTATGCTGCCCCATGTGTCCACACCAACTGTAACCCTTCTTCGACAGGGCAGCTCGGGGGAGGCTCTTCCTAGTTGTCAGAGTCTGTATAATTCCCCAGACAGACGAGCCTTGGGAGGCAGTGAAAGCAGGGAGCCCTGTCACCAGTAACTCTTCCTGGTGTCCCCCGGCCCGGCCTGGGCAGGGCGCCTCATGGGCTTGTCTACACTTCTCCATGAGCCCGGGAAGGGAAGACACAGGACTGCCTCCTCTCTTCTGCTCTGGCTCTCTGTGGAGAGGTCTGGCTCCTGACAGTCTGACCAGTAACCACTGAGTTTGGGGAAAGTAAATTTTAAGACATGTGGGAGTTAATGAGGTGGCTTGATCTGACAGTCTTAGTGAGGTGTGGGCCACACAGAGCCATCTCCCCCACCAGCGCTGCCAAACCAGCACACATTGACCGCTTCTCTGGTCACCTCCACCTGTAGGAGATGAGCTGCACTCCCAGGAGGGGATGCTGTCAGAACTCGGGCAGGAACTGCATGTGTGTTCGCATCAGTAACCCTGCCCCTCCCCCTCCTCTCGCTCTCCAGGAACAGTACGAGTTCTGCTACAGGGTGGTGCAGGAATATATCGATGCGTTCTCAGATTACGCCAACTTCAAGTAAGGTGATGAGGCCTGTGGACAGCAGCATTGCCTTTAATATTTTGTAATATTCTGTTTGTTAATATACCCAAAATTGTGTATATATCTTATAACTGTTTTAGAAATTGGTACATAAGCTTCTATTACTTACTAGGTGGAGATTTTATATGTAAATGTGTTAGCACTGATACTCCTTTTTCCAATGTTTTATTGGGGAATTAAATGGTGTGATGTTTGGACTGATATCGTGAAATTCTCTGCCTGGAAGTTGGGCTGAATTGTTCTGTATTTTATACAACTTTTCCTAAAGAGGAAACACAAAACCCTTTCCAGGTAGCTTGGCATCAGCTAAGACGAAAGCACAAAGCTCTCAGAGCTCTGAGGAAATTGGTTGTCCCAGGGCCCTGTCAGGCCGCTATTCCCTCCCTGCTCTGTAAGTACCCTCCCCTCCCCCTCCACGCAGCCTCTTCTCCCGCCCCCACACCCATCACGGGAGTCAGGGGACCAGAGTGGTACCTCTGTCACCACCAGGGATTATCAGGAAATAAAAGCTTTGCCTCCCCGAGGAAACGTCTCCCTTTGTCTGGGGTGGGGCAGCCATACCAGAGCCGGGCTCTCCTAGGCCACTCCTGACCTTCCTGGCACTGTTTTGTCTCAACGCCCAGAGAGGCCAGTCCTCCTGACTCCTCCTTTCCACTAAGTGCAGCCCTTCCAGTGCTTGGCTACATGCCAAAGACCCGCCTTCCCCTTCCAGCCCATCTTTGGTGCAGTGGTCCCAGCCAGCCTAGCACTCTGGGAAGGTGGCCAAGGGCATTGAGGAGAGAAGAGGCTCCTGGTTAAGGCCTCTGACCTCTCTGGTACTTTGTTACAAAACTATCTGGGTTGTGTCACTGCGCCCAGAATAAGTCTTTATTCTCACACTTACTGTGTTAAATAGCTTCAATGTTCTTTCACGTCTGTCCTCATTTCCAGGACTTTTATGTGGAACTACCTCAGATTCTGGATGGTGGGAGTCTTAGATTCCAACTTTATTTTGATCCTGAATATTAGGCAAAAGTATTTAACTTTTGTGTCTCAAATAAGTTAATGTTCATTTATTTTTCATGTAATTGCCCAGTCAGAGGCCCAGTATCCTCCCATCTCGTGGTTCCGGGTCCCCTTAGGGTGTTATTCTTTTCTTCACGGTTGGAGCTGGATCAGTGTCTCCTCCCATGGAGAACCCAGAACAGTGTAGAGAGCAAGCGACTTCATTTTTAAGGACAGGAAGCAAAATTTGCACTTTTCATTCTCATACATATCCCATTGGTTAAAACCTAGTCATAAGGCCACACCTAGCTACAGGGAGGCTGGGAAATGTAGTCTTTGGGAGCACAGCTGGGAGAGGGGCCTGTCCACTGCCTCCTATGCTCACAAGCAGCTCATCATAGAACAAGAGATTAAGCTGGTGGTCATGGCTGTTAGTGCAGGACTGAGAGAGGCTTGCAGCGTGGCCTGCAGGGCATCTCTGGAGGAACAGGGCCAGGCCCTGAGCCTTCTCAAGCTCAGGACTGAGGTGACGCCCTAACCTGGTCCAGGAAGGCACGCTTGAGATATCAGTGCTGCTGTGCTTCTTGGAGGAGATGGGATTTGAACTGGACCCAGGGGGTGCTGGATATTTAGATGTGAAAGGAGGAAAGATGAAATGGAGCTACATTACAGAGGACCTCGGGAGCCAAGCAAACAAGGACACAGTGGCTCCAAGACAGGAGCCGGGCTTTGTGCCACATTCAGGATGTCTGCAGGGACACAGCAGACCACCTCCGGAAGCTTGCAAGAGGTATGTGTCAGTGGAGGTACTCAGTCCCTTCTGGACGAACTAAGGAACTCCAAGGGACAATAAACTCAAATTTTGGTAGTTTTAAAAGAAGCCTGGATAAATTAAACAGTGATAGAATCTGACAAATTTCTGATGAGAGGAGCCATGTTTGGGAAAAAGACCCTGGCTCCTGGAACAAGCTACTTTTTTGGTGCTTCTGTGTGACCAAGTCCAGGCAGATGGAGGAGGGCAGGCTTTGGGTCAGTAGGCTGTGCCAGAACGAGCAGAAGAGCCCTCCACAGGCCCTGCTCCCCTCCTCCCAGCAGGCTGCCTAACTGTTACCAAGGCTGGTACTGAGCAGCTAGCTGCACACTATTTTGGCCCAATGGTTTTCTGCTGGAGTCCTTGCTGATTTGAGCAGTGGCTGGGCCAATATTTTAAATACCACCTGGTTATCAGATATCTTCAAGCAGGGTTCACATGATTTCAAGGGACAAACCCAACAAGAACTAGTCTGGGCTAAAAGGAAAGTGTATTGGGGCTCACACAGCATGACTGAGTGGGAAGAGCAGGGTTACTACTTCCCATCCATCAGCCAGGATTTCTCAAAAGGGGAAGAGAGGTGTCCATTGCCCACCACACACCAAGAACTTAGGGTCTGCCACACCTTCATAGGCCTCATTTCAACTAGTCAGCTCCCTCTTAGGTTTTCTGTTTCTCTCATCACTTCCCCCAGCAAATCTCTTCCTCCAGGCTTACATTCTGTCCCTTTAATAGACTTCTTTAAAAAAGTCTGCACTCTCACTCTTACCTCTTTCCCACTTCATTTCCTTTCTTACCTGTTCTTACCAAGGTGACCTGTGCACTGAGCCCCAGGGACACTTCCCCTGCATTCCCCCTTGGTGTTAGTGATTCCACTGTCTCTCTCCTCAGGGTCAGGCATTCCTGCTGTCTGTATGCTGTGGATCCTCAGCCCTTCTCCAAGCCCAAGTCCCCTCCTGAGCCCCAGGTCCACATACCCTGCTTCCTGCTGGGGGGATGACCCACAGCACCTGTCCCTTGCTGCAGCCCTCTGGCGATCTCTGCACCCCTTTCACCTCCACCCCACCTGGCAGTTCCTGTGTTGCCTCTTCTCCATTTTGTTCCTTTCCCCCTACAAGAACTCCCAGACTAATGATGTCCTTTCCCCAAGGCAGAGAATCAGCTGGAACTTAGTGAACAAATGGCTTTCTGTGTCCTGCTGAGAATAGGAGGATCAGTGGCAGAATTTATAGTCTGGAAGGGGACAGCAAACATTCCTGAAAAGCTAGGTATGTTGTCAGAAAGAAAGGGCCCTGTGCTTCCCCTGGGAAGCTTAGTTCTGGTTTGGATTTTTTAGCAAAAACAAAAAATTACAGAAAAAAGGGCAACCCCATTTAAAATAAACATTCTATAAAGCCAAAACACGATTTCAGGTCCCTGCTAAATAAGTCAACTTGGAAATCCATGTATGCCCTCCTGCCTGGGCGGCTGAATTCCAGGTGCCCGCGACCTCCCATGATGCCCATTATGCCATTCCCTCCCCCATCTTAGCCACAGGACTTGATGCACCTGTACGCCCAGTGACTGATGTCAAACCTGCCAGGCCTTTGCATTTGCTTTTCAGCTCAAATGCAGTGATTGGTTATTGTTAACAGGCCTCTGCTGCCCTGCCCCTCCCCCACCCCCAGGCGATAGAAAATTGAGCTGACCCACACTAAGTGTAGGTAAAGGGTTTGTTATTTAGGAGAAAGTAGGTGAGGGGTTTGGAATTCAGGGAAAAGGGTTAATCAGATAAAAGCTGCAGTCAAGTGATTTCCTGAGCATCCCTTCATCTGCTGACTGGTGCTGATTCTTTACATCCCGGGCAGCTGACCTCTTCCTGGAGCACAGTGGCTCAGCTACTATCTTGGTCACTTAGAGCTCTCCTAGGGAATAAAGGTCAAATTGCATGTGTTTCTCCTGAAGTGGGCAGGTCTCCTGGGCAGGTCCAATCATACATTCCAGTCCCTGGAACAATAGCTTTTCTACATGCATGACCAAGCCTATTAATTTTTTGAGTTCTCCATCAGGAGCAGCCCTGCCATGGCCAGCTCCAAGCTAGGCCTCTTGTTGCTGCTGCTGCCGCTGCTGCCCACCCAACCTGGACCCTCAAAGACTCAGCACTGGGAAAGGGCACGGTTCCACAACTGGTACAGTGGAGGAAAGTGAGCCTCCAGCATGCCCCAAGGCCCCCAGGTGGGTGACGGGTCTCCCCAGTCTGACTGGGAGGAAGAAGGTTCTGGCTAGGACTCCTTCACCCATCTCGAACCTGGGGTTGGGGTAGTGAGGGCAGCCTCAGCTATCTTGAGGAAGGATTCTGGGCACTACAGCAAGCAGCCCAGATCAGGCTGCCATAGCCTCCAAAGCAATGCCCTGGCTCCCCCCCACACACACACTCCAGGGGCAAAGTGTGCCCTGGGAGGGCAAAACCACAGGCCAGGGGACCCTCCATAGGAAGCAGTACCTGGTACAGACACTGCTGGTAAGTAGGGTGAGAGGCCCCAGGCATTGGCCACCAGAGGCCATAGTGGCTAAGGACTGAGGGTTATGTGAATGGAAGATGGGGTAGACAGCACTGAGACATCCCCTACCACAGCACCCCCAGCTGTTAGTGCCCCGCGGCTTCTTACAAGCAGGGTGCTGTCTGCTATTCTGTTTCCCAGAAACTAAACAATTTACAAGATACTTACATTGAAGGTTGGAAGTCACTAATGGAGTAGGAAATAATTGTACTGCACTAAAAAACCTCTGAAAGAAAGATAGTGACTGCAGTGGGGTCTCCCAGGCTTCTTTGTTTTCTAGGGAATTATTGTGTTCCCCTGCCAGAGGGAAGAGGGGAGAGGTGGGACCTCACACTGACGGGTAGTCACTGACTAGAAATGGTAGTGATTGCAGAGTCCTCCTAAGCCCTAGCAGAACACAGGTGTGTGGAGATGGATTATTACTATTTTGCACATAGTATTTTATTTTTAAAAAATATATATTTTACTGATTTTTTTACAGGGAGGAAGGGAGATGAATAGAGTTAAAAACATCAAGGAGAGAGAAACTTCTATCAGCTGCCTCCTACACACTCCCTATTGGCTATGTGCCCAAAACCAAGGTACATGCCCTTGACCTGGAACTCGTCAGTCCGCAGGCCGACGCTCTATCCACTGAGCCAAACCGGTTAGGGCTGTACATAGTATTTTAAATTGCACCAGGAGAGCATGGTAACTAAAGGTGAGAAAGTAGTAAGTAGATTCCTATATGGCAAAACCTTACTGCCTAACTTAAATCCGTGTGAGCTCAGGTTTTTACATATCAGGTTTGTTTAGGGTGGGTAACGCCCAGGGTGGTGAAGCCCTGGGTCCTCTAGGCTAGGAGCCTGCCTCAGCGGAGCCAGGTCGGAGGGGAAGGGGCGGGCCGGGCCAGCTGACCTGAGCTTCCGCTGGAATGACCGTCCCCTTCCCCGGCGGACTGGACCCGAGCGGAACGCACTGCCGCCCAATAAAGTTAATGAGATTCCGGAAGTTGCGTCAAGTTCTGTCTTCCTCTCACACTGATCCCCTTCCCCGCTTGGGTTCTGGAGGGACGCGGACGTGATCGGGCCCCGCAGAAAGGGCGCAGCCAGAGCCGCGGCGGGGGACGGCAGACTTGGGCAGGGTCTTGGGCGCCGTTGGAGCGGCTCCCGGGTACTGTGTAGCAGGATAGACCTTGGACTTCAAGTCCCGTGGTGCCTCGCGGCCGCTTCCGGGCTCCCGTGATGCCCTGCGGCGCGCCGGACGCGAGGCGGCCTCGGTCATGCTGCGCCCGCTGAGTTACCTGGGCGCGCGGCCCCTATGCGGGCCGCCGGCCCTGCTGCTGCTGCTCGTGCGAGGCCGCAAGACCCGCTACGACCCGCCGGCCAAGTCCAAGGTCGGGCGCGTGGCGACCCCGCCCGCGGTGGACCCTGCGGAGTTCTACGTGGTGGCGGAGCGCTACCGGCAGTACCGCCAGATCATGCGCGCCCTCAGGTGTGTGTGACGGACCGGGGACAGGGAGGCGGCCGCGGGAGTGTCGGGTGGGCGGGCTGAGGGTGCAGACCCTGGCGCGTCTCTGGCAGGCTGCAGTTCGTGTCCGAGGTGCGGAGGAAGGTCCACGAGGCGCGGGCCGGGGTGCTGGCGGAGCGCAAGGCGCTGGAGGACGCCACTGAGCACCGCGAGCTGATGGCCTGGAATCGGGCGGAGAACCAGCGGCTGCACGAGCTGCGGTGAGACGGGCGGGCGGGGCGGGGCCGGGCCACCTGGTTGGCCCGCGGGAACCCAGCTCGCTCAGTCTCGGCCTCTTGCTCCTCCCAGGATAGCGAGGCTGCGGCAGGAGGCGCGGGAGCAGGAGCAGCGGCAGGCCGAGGAGAAGGCCCGTAAGGCCCGCGAGAAGGAGGCCTGGGTGCAGCTCAAGGAGCGAGAAGTGCTGCAGCTGCAGGTGGGTCGCGTCTCCACGGGGTGGGGCTGGAGGCCGGGAGCTCCTCCTGGGAGGCCGGCAGAGGCTGGGTGCAGCGAGGTGGGACACCGGCTGCGGCAGATGGAGAGGGCAGTCTTGGGAGAGCGGGAGAGGAGTGCAGGGAGAGTGCCTGGCAGGCGCAGAGATCTGGAGTGAGAGTTGACATTGTAAAGTGTCCAAATAGCGAGTGGATGGTAAACTGGTGTCTGAGGGAGGGAGGACCCCTGAAATCCACAGAGCTTGCATTTTGTCTTTTGGGTAGTGTCACTGAAGGGGTAAATATTTTGGCTAGGTTGGCAGGAGTGACCCAGCAGGAATGGATGAGGCTTGAATTAAAGTAATGGAGGGCAGAGGAGGCATTTGAGAGAGACTAAGAGGTAAATTGTCACAGCTGGTGTGCTGTGGTTTTGGCAGAGCTGTCCAGTGGAGGTTTAAGAAAGAGGAATGTGACCAGGCTGCTGACAAGTCAGCGAGGCACTCAGAGAGGAGAGCTGGAGCTGTCAGTGGGCTAAAGGCCAGCAGGCGGTGTGGGCAGGCTGGCCTGCGCCAGGGGCTCCCATTCCCTTCTCTCTCAATAGGAGGATGTAAAAACCTTCATCACCCGAGAGAACCTGGATGCTCGGATAGAAGCAGCGTTGGACTCCCCATCCCCAAAGAGCTACCACTGGGCCGTCACCAAAGAGGGACAGGTGGTCAGGCCACAGCACAAGGGCAACTAAGGGCCCGGTAAGGACAGTGCCTGCCCAGGGACTGTGTGTGTGCACGGTATGACCTGGGATAAAGCAATGGTGTTTCTTCTGAAGAAGGAAGCTCAGCCTATTCCACTGTGGCCCTCTTGTTTTGGCCTCTGCATCTACCACTTGATCAGTGCCCTTTTCTGCCCCAATGACAACTGTCAGCACAGAACTAAGGTTTCCATCTCACAGAGGGGCAGACTGGACTGGACCATCGTGCGATCACCTCCTGAGTATCATCGAGGTTGGTCAGAGGTTGGCAATGGGCCAAATGTGGTCTACTACCTGTTTTTGTAAATAAAGGTTTATTTGAATACAGCCACACCCATTCATTGACTACTTGGATGTTACGATGGCAGAGATGATTAGTTGCAACAGGGACCGTATATGACTTGCAAAGCCTAAAATATTTGTTAATATGGCTTTAAATATATATATTTCTCCCCCCCCCCCCCCCCCAAACCGGTTTGGCTCAGTGGATAGAGCTTTGGCCTGCAGACTGAAAGGTCCCAGGTTCGATTCCGGTCAAGGGTATGTACCTTGGTTGCAGGCACACCTCCAGTAGGGGGTGTGCAAGAGGCAGCAGATCGATGTTTCTCTATCATTGATGTTTCTAACTCTCTGTCCCTCTCCCTTCCTCTCTGTAAAAAAATCAATAAAATATTTTTTTTTAAAAAAGATTGGCAAGTAGTAATTTGAATATATATATATGATTTCAGAGAGAGAGGGAGAGAAACATCAATGATGAGAGAGAATCACATCAATGATGAGAGAGAATCAACATGCCTCCTGCATGCCCTTTACTGGGATCTGAGCCCACAACCCAGGCATATGCCCCTGATCAGAATCAAACCCGGGACCCTTCAGTCCTCAGGCTGACACTCTTATCTACTGAGCCAAACTGGCAGGGGCTGTTTTATGGCTTTTACAGAAGTCTGTTGACCTCTGATCTAGGGTTTTAGGGCTCCAGCCAGGATCAGCTATCACATGGTACCTGAGACAAGCCAACCACTGGCCAAACACCTGTTTCTGCTTGACCATGGGCTTTGCTGTCCAGGATCTGGTGGCTCGGGACACAGAAGGCAGGGTGGAGACCCCATTTCTTCTAGAAGTCCTTTCCACCCGTGGCCTCAGGGACCTGCCTCTATCTTGGCACTAGCAGCCTCCTTGGACCACCCAGCAGATGGGTGCTGGCAGGGAAGGCCTGGTTGATACAGGGATTACAAGGTCAGTGTTATTTGTCAAGCCCTTGGATCAAACCTTGAGGGAACCAGAAATACTTGTGGTTAAAGTTCACGTTCACAATATTGAATAAGTGAACATATAGATCCATTGCCCTGTTCATACAAGCTCTGGAGCAATATCTGGGATGAGGAAGAGCTGTTTCTCCGAGCCAGAGCTGTAGCCCCGTTGCCACCATTCACTTGAACTTGCTCAGTTACCACAAGAGGACAGAGTCCCAGCTGCTTTTCCTGAACTCCCACATTGTAGAGAGGGTCTGGGAACCCCAAGAAATGAAAACCTTTTAGAAAATATGGGCAACCCCCCCACATTCAGGTGATGATGCAGGCAACAGGTGTAAGCATAGAGCCCGTGGTTATCATTGTGCCTTACACCCCGCCCCCATCAGGGCATTGTATCCCTCGGAGCAGGCTGGTCATAGCCCTTCTTCTCCCCGGTTGGTACTAAACCTGGACACAGCACAGTGGAGTCCTTTCAGATGCTCAGCATGCCTTCCGGGGTGAGCTGATGGGCACACATTGTGGGCCGTGGATTGGCAACTGTCCCCACAGCCTTGGACTTGATGGTGAGGAGTGGACAGACGTCTGGTCCCTGCCTGGAAGCCGTGGTGAGCTCTCACATGGCACCCTGTGTTAGGAAGTCCAGTTTCATTCTCCCCAAGTCCCTTCCCCTCTGAGTCGGGGTGTAGACACAAGTCATCGGTCTCTAAGTGGAGGAGACGGTGTGATATGTTCTTTAAGTTCTGCCTTTGGGCTGTTTTCCCTTCGCTGCTGTTTAGTATCCTGCATGGGGCGGTCACTCCTGATGTTCACTGCTGATACCACCTCTCAACCAAGCTTCGTTTTTACCCACCGATAGTCAAGAAAATCTGATGTTTTTTTCTTTACCCCCAGGAACTTTGCTGGATAGGCATCCCTGCCCCCCCTCTCCCCCCCGGATTTATCTCCCCCATTAAGCACAGATGTTTTACCAAGACAGCTGGATTCTTGCCCCTTCCAACTCCGGGGTGAGTAGCAGGACATCAGTGAAGTGCGTCCTGGGGTGGGTAGTCAGGGTCTTGAAGATGAAGTTGTACAAACCTGTAGCTGTTCACCACGTGGGCTGGGTGGTGATATACTGCAGGTGAAGGAGAACTGCTTGTGGTGGTCCAAGTAGACAGGAAAAGAGAATATTTGCCTCATGAATGGGTGCTGGGTGCCTCCTTAATCTACTCCGTCATGGAGACACTCCGGGCCTAAGCCAGCCTGACGTCATTCCCATGGTGTTCCAGGATGCTCCAAGTTTTCTGCATGGCATAGTCACAGGTGCTCAATAGTCCTTGAAATCTCTGTAAAGATCCCCGCTGAGAGAGCACACTTTGTTTTCTATTGAAGATTGTTTTACCCAACTAGAGCTGCAATGTTGGCTGAGCTGCAACACAGGAGCAGAGCTGTCTCAGCGGCTGAACCTGTGACACCTGAGCCCGAACACTGGCTTCTCCGCAGCCACCGCACAGCCTCAGCCGTGCTGAACTGTGTGCATGGAATAAAGAATCTCTCCCCTCACCACATGGAAATTGGGATTCCTGTTAGCATTGAGTTGGTGGCAGTGACCTTCAGTTGACACAGTAAACGCAATAATGCTTTTAGGTGCTTTGGTGAAAGTCTTTGTGGAGTAAGACAGGTTTATAAAGAAGGGTGGGACTGAAAATTGGATGGGACAGCAGGGAACCCGGGTGCTGGTCAATGGAGGAGAGGCCTGAGGTAAACCTAGGGGACGTGCTGTATTCATCAGCAAGTGAAGGTGGTGCAGGCACTCACAGGGCAGCCACGTGAGTCAGGCACAGTGCTAGGGAACGTCAGAGGGACTCGGTACTTCAGAGTTATGTGAGCATAAGATAGAAGAGCTGGAGAGGAGAGCATGAGCCAGAGCAGAGAGCCTTGTCGATTAGGTTCAAGTTAGTTAAACTCATAGAAACAAAGTGGAATGGTGGTTGTCAGGGTACGGAGAGGGGGAAATGTTGGTCAAAGAGCACACACTTCCAGTTAGAAGATGAACACATCCTGGGGGTGTACATGCAGCATGGTGACTAGTTCATACTGTATTGTGTGCTTGAGAGTTGCTAAGAAGTAAATCTTAATGTTATCACCACACACACACACAAGTTCCCCCTGAACATAATCTGTGTTATTTCCCGGATGTAAGTGTAGAGGTAAAATAAATAAGAAACAAGCCCAGTCCACTGCTGAAACGTGGGCAGTTCTGGCAGGAAGAAGTCAAGCTTGGAACTACCCAAGCCAAAAGCAGTGTTTGCAACCCCCAAATCCTGAGGAAGACGGGCCTGGTGATGATGCTGGTCATTTCTTCCATGGTGAGTATTTCCTCCGATAGGAAAGCGCTTAACCTATAAATTTGAAGCTGAACGAGTTGTTTTGAAGGGAGCATCCATGTCAAGAAACAGAACAGCCTCTGGATCAAATTCATAGTTAAGTTTACAAGGCCTTGAGGTCAAGAGCCTGTAAGGAAGGGTCCCACTGTATTGCCACAAAAGGCAGTGGAGTGACATGAAGGAGCTCAGAGCTGCACAGACCGCCCTCTCCCGCACTCCACAGCAGCTCTGCGGTCACACATCCACTACTTTCCCCCAAATGTCTGGGCACGCCCCACCGCTGAGCCACATCCGGCTGGGCTTGTTTTTTCCTTTTAAATACTAGCCACTGAGGGAGAGGGTTTGAGAGTGGGATTTTGTGTCTGGAAAATGCCTAACTGAGGTATAAATGTCCATCATGGCGCACGCACACACACACACACACCTTCGCTGTCAATGCCAGAGCCTGCAAGGTGCTGGCTGACCCACAATCTCTGCCTGAACCCCGACCACACTCATCCACCTGCTGCCGCTGCCACGAGGCCTCAGACCTCAGAGCAGAGGGGTCCGAGGGGCCGCCCTTCCTCTGGCCTCAACAACTGATCTTTTGTGGTGACTCCCGAGTGTTGCCATAATAGAAGCCAGGTGGCAAAGGAAGTCCTGAGGAGCTGTAGGCTTTGGATGAACCACCATACAAACCGATGTTTTAGAAGCACTGTTTCCCACAATTTACAGCACTTAGAGTGGGACAGAATTGTTTCATGGGGACTTTTAGAATAAGAAGATGAAATTTGAGACTAATATATGTTGACAATTTGGGATTTATACTTTCTGAAAATCTACAGAAGTTATCTGTAACTACAAACATAGCATATCACTAGTGTGTCTTCTAATTTGAAAAATATTATGATGCCAGAGAGGATCCAAGATGGCTGCTCGGGTAGACATCTAGCCGCGGCAGCACACAACAATTTCAATGGAATACAACTAAAATGTAGAGTGGACATTGCCCAGAGCTACAGGTAGTCGACTGACTGAAATTTCTACAACAAGAAGGAAAGAGAAAACCAGAAAGAAAATCAGAGGAGCTGAAAAAAAGCCTAAGGTACGGAGACATGCTGCGCGCGCCTGCCCGCCCGCACGCGCGCACGGAGAGGTCGCAGCCGGAGAGGAGGAGAGGGCGGGGAGCCGCCTTTCCTTCCCCAGCAGGAAGGGAATAAAACCCCCAGCCTGGGCTGAACCCCCGAACCGGCAGTGCTGAACCCCCCCGAACCCGGCAGCGCTGAGCCCCAGTTATGGGCCAGACCCTGGGGACCCAGGCTCCCGCGGGAGGAGACAGGGCCGTGAGGCGGAAAAACGGCGAAAAGCAGGGCCCCGGGAGTCGCGCGCAATGCGC